AGGCGGCTGGCGGACTACATCGACCCGCAGGAGGGCTGGAGGAGGCTCGCCATGGATATAACAAATCCGTCCGGTGAAGGCAGATACAGCCAGATGCATATAAGGTCCTACATAAAAGTCATGTAACGTAACCTCGTGTGTTACCTGTTTAACATAACTGCCTTGTCCATCCCGTACCGGTGTCCGTCCCGTTTTCCATCCCATTACTGTAACTTGCTGTAATTTGTGTGCTATAAAGGTAAGGTACTTGTATCTTACAGTGCCATTCCCTGAGGGAACTCAAGGTAATTACTCCTAATTGTTCTGTAGCTCAGTTTTTAGACAAGACCAAGAAAAATTGACTAAGGAAATTAGCCTTAATTACAGCCACAGACATGTATTTTTAGCAATACAGCACTGGCTGTGTTACTGTATCCTACAGACCAGTAAAGACTGACCTCACTGTGCCCAAGAGACTACTGGGCTATAACTCCCAATTCACAGTTCCCAAGAAAATGTCCAACAAATGTTAGTAGACAGGCCTAGAGCTGTCTACAAGTTTAATTAAGAAGTAATGCCTGCAGTATTTTTATGAACACCTTTTTGCTTGAAGGGCTTGTGGAAGGAATCCCAAAGGTTTTTCAGAGATTATGAGGTTTTAAATACTGTATCTATCATTTTGGGTTTCCAGTCTTTTCTAGTGATGTTAAGCATTAAATCTTTGTTTGTCTTTCTGTAATAGTAGTAAATCAGTCAGAATACTAGATCTCAATTTCTGCTTAATGCCCATCTCAAAACATTCAAAATGAAGTGCGAATGGCAAGTGGACAGAAAACACTGAATTATTTTTCCATTTGATCTGGCTCTGATTTACCCACTGTCTCTTGCTGACATTCTCTTGTCTGTTAGTCCCATGTGCCAGTATATTATGTGTCCCAGACAAAGATGCTGAACCCACATATACATGCTTTTACCTTAGTTTTTCCCATATTTTGTAATATTTCCCCCAGATTTTGAATGTTTTTATGGCTTTTTTAGAAGATTAGTGAATTTGTACAGTACATTCAGAATTTTTTTTTACGTGGGGTTTGGTTTGGGTTTTTTGGGCAGTTTTTGTGTTTGTTTTTTTTTTGTTGTTGTTAATTTGCCTTTAATCTCTTTCTTCAGGTCACTTTTTTTTTAATGTTGGTCTTAATTTATCTTTTAAGGAGATTTGAGGCATTTGTACAAATGGGAAAGAGTCCTACATGTGAGTTGCTTTTTGACTGGGGAACAACAAACTGTACAGTTGCTGATCTTGTGGATCTGCTGATTAGAAATCAATTCCTAGCACCAGCAAGCCTGTTGCTTCAAGGTAACTATTACTCTTGTACATTTTTGTACTGTGTTCTCAGTTTTCTAAGGTGCTAAAGAGCTTCATAGTAACTAGAAAATCAGAAAGGATTGGGTCAAAATAACCCAAAATGGATGTACTTTCTATTACTTGTAATAACAGTTTAAATGAGTTCCAAGTTTCAGTAGGAGTGCTGGAGTTGACACAGGGTGGCAGAATATAACCTTCTCATGATGTTTACGTGTCTCCTAATTTTAAAAGATACTGGCATTAATATTACAAGGTCTTTTTCTGGTTCCTAATGTAGTTAACACTTTTTCTAAATTCCATTTTCAGAACCTGTAAGGATGCCACAAGAAGTTACATTACCTCTTTCTTCACAGGAAACCTTGCCTATGCATGAGAAACAACTACCTGTACAGGAAAAAGAAGCAGCATCTATAAAGCCTGTTTTAGCTCAGTGTACTGAGAAGCAACATTCAGATCCTTCCCACTTAAGTCAAAAAACCAGCAGTTCACAGTCCAGAAACACAGGTAGGCAATTATTTTGCTAGAATTAAGTACTATTTTTTTTTTTGTGATCTGTCCTTCACCCCATGTGAAATAAATTATAGCAATGCATAAGAGTGATGACTCTATTCCTATTATTGTGCATTTATGGGAAACAGCATCTTTCACCTTGCCAACAAGTCACCAAACGTGATGGAAGACTTGACTGTTAGTTACATTGCAATTTATTTTGTGCCACACGTAATCCTGTTGCCCTTTTCCAATGCTTATTTTATAGACTGTTCAGCATCTTATGTTTTAAAGCTGGATTTTATATGTCAGAAATGACTAAGACTGTTGGAGAAAAGATGACTAAAGTAGGCATTCTAGGAGAGTGTATGATTGATCTATTCCTTCCTAAAGATCCACTTTTGTGTTACTGCCAGAAACATGATGTGGTCTAGGTGTATTTTTTAAATCTAAGGCAGTGTGGCTCTCTCTGTGATATGCAGCATGTTTAATTTCTATTACCTGTATTACAAGTATGAACAAGAAATAGAATCAGAAATCTGCTACAGTGCTAGTTGTGAAGAAAATTATGCATAGCTAGTTATTTATCTGTCTTTTTTTTTTCTGGTATCTTCATCATGAATCTGGAAGTAGAGCTCCACTGTGTCAGGATTTGTGTGGTATCAAGTTTTTGTTTTAATAGAACCGAAGCAGGAAACTATTCAATATCCTTGTTCCTTAAGTGAAATCAGAGCTTTATGCTAAATATCAAATATGTCTTTCAGATTTCCATAATTTTTTGTTTCATGACTTGGAAAGCATTACAAATAATTTTGATGCCCGACCAGAATCATCTGGAGGTAATAAACTGGGAGAAGGCGGCTTTGGCGTTGTGTTCAAAGGCTACATCAATGGCAGAAATGTGGCTGTCAAGAAGCTCGTTGCTGTGAGTTTCCTGGTTTTTCTTTCATTTTAATGACAGTTTACTTTATAGTATAGACTTATCTTGCTTATTGTGGAAAGTGTAGAATCATATAATTCAAAAAGTGTCACCATGTTAAATATTAGTTGGATTGAGAACCGTATCCTGTAGTCCCATGAATGAGTTGGCACAGTCGTGTGGAACAATTCTCACCTTCTCTGTAGCTCCCTTTGAGTGGCTCGGGCAAGTTGTCAGGAAGAGCAGAGTGCTCTCCCTGCTGAGAAGTGGCACAAGGGAAGGGTTGCTAAGGATGTTTCCATTTCAGATTCATATAGGTAAGATTCACAAGCTAAATAGGTATTGCCATAGAATTTTAGTCTTCATAACCATTGGTCTGTGTGAGTAAGTTAATTTTATAATGAGTATGCAGTGAATGGTAGGTTGGTGACTGTGCTGAAACTGGATCTATTTGTCCAATAATGCTGTGTTCCAAGGAATTAAAAGTCATGTTCTGATACTTCATTTTCGAGCTGAATAAACAGTTAACTTGTTGTTACATGTAACACATCTAAAGAAAGGTTTACAATTCCATTTTTTTTAAATTAACAACTGTGCATTTCAATATGTCCAGTGATATTAACGTCAAAAACTTCCTTTTGTAGATGGTCGATGTTAGTGTTCAGGACTTGAAGCAGCAATTTGAACAAGAAATAAACATGATGGCAAAGTGAGTACAGTCATACAATTTCTGTATTTCTAGGATAACTTAGTGATTTTCATGTTAAGTGAGAATGTTTCTTGTACAGCATGACTTGTTTGTTTTCAAGCATCACCACAGAAACTTGGCTGTGTGCAGTAGAGCTGAAGCAAGTAATTGGGAATCAAGTTCCCTCTGCTTTGTATTTTCCTCAAATGTTCAGTGTCTTTCAGAACATATATGAACAGATTTTTTTCGTTTTTTTATCCTTTGCTTTAGGTGTCAGCATGAAAATCTAGTAGAATTACTTGGTTTCTCAAGTGATGGTGCTCAGCCTTGTTTGGTGTATGAATACATGCCCAATGGTTCATTGCTTGACAGACTTGCTTGTCTGGTAAGTAAAATCTTTTCTAGCTTCCAACTGTCCTTCTTTGCTAAAGTATAAGTATCTGTGGAATGTCTCTGAAACAGTACTGAATTGTAATGGCCAAATGATGTTTTGCTACTTGCTCTTGTGTTTTAGAAGAAAATATGATAACAAGTATTCTTCCAATAACATTTTATTCAAATGGTTTCGATAGATTAAAATCAAATCAGTCTGATAATACAATGTCATGTACCAGTACCTGAAGTGGCACAGGAGGCTGGACTTGCTGTGCCTGTGTGAAGCAGTGCAAAGGGTGCTGCAGTACTGTTCACAGTTCTAATGTTGGCATGTTCTCCACTAGT